TATATACAAAATATTTTAGACAATATTGGGGGCCTTCGAGTAAAACTTAAACTATTGTCATATGAGGAGTAATAATACTAATTTAAGTATCACAAACCTTGCACAAAACAGTTCTTGCTATGACACATATGAATAAAAATAAAGTCCTGTGGTTCAGTGAGTGAATCAGAAGGTAATTCAATAACCTCTCTGACAAAGTGTTTCATTCAGTGAAGGATTTGTCAGACTGATTCAAACTCTGTCTTTGTATCTTATCACATTCAGTTTAGATGACAATCTCACAACTTGGTTAAAACATAATTCACCATGGCGCTGTAGACTTGTGCAGGAAACACTGCTCTTTGTAATTGAGCAATAATTCCTCCTATGAATCTTTCACCAGTGAACAAAGCTCAGGAGTCTATTAATCTGTGCATTCTGTTCAGTTCTGCCCAGTGATGACCAGTCTGTGACCCCCTCCACCCCTGGTCTCCCCAAGGGACGTGTCTTCTGTTGTCTGGGCGTTTACTTTGAGCTTCTGCTAGCGTACATCTGGTAAGCGTGGCTGTCCCAAACACTTATGTCGTTGATCATAATGAAAGGTATTATACTGACAACACCAAGTAACACCAGCACACTTCACACGAGTCTCTTAAGAATCATCACAGCTAGGGTGCAGTTGAGATTAGTTTTGTGTCAGAATAAAACTGGTTCCCTTTCCAAGTGTCTTCTACTTTTTTTTTAAAAACACAATAATGTTTTGCCTTCCCATTCAGCCTTCAAATAATTCTCTGGTTTTGGTGTGTTTTTATGAATCATGGCATGTGATTTCCCCCTGCTCTAGCTCTTGTTTATTTTCACTGTCCTATATATATTCTCTATGAAACAGAAGAATGATAAGATGAATGCCTTATCATTTGATTTCTTAAAGGAATAGTTCACAAATAAAAATATTGTCATTATTTACTCACCCTCATGTTGTTCCAAAAACACAGACTTTTTGAAACTCAAAATGATGTTTGTGAAGAACTAATTATACTGGTTGCTCTTTTTTATGCAACTACAATGCATGGGAACTGAGGATTTCAGTCTTCTGAAAAGGGCACCAAAGTACCATAAAAGTATCACTTTAATAAGACTTGTGCTATATTTTAAGAGTTCTGAAGTCACACATTAGCTTTGTGTGAAGAAACTGAAATTTAAGTTGTAACTCACAAAAAAAAAAAAAAAAATCACAAAAGGTCTCCTTTGAATGTTCATAAGAGAAGTAGCAATGCCCAGTTTGCGAGAAAAAAAAAATCATTTTTGGGAGTCAAATCTTTTCAATAAATTGACCAATCCTGTTGGCAAAACTGGTCTGAATGACTGGTTCATGAATCAGCTCACTTCATCCAGTCACAGCAGTTAACAGCTTACTGGAGGGGAAGATTATTATTAAAAAATGACTTCAAATTTGATATAAAGTCACATGGTCTAACTTTGACATTTTGGAATCTTCATTCTAGCATGGAAAAGAGCGACCAGTACAAATCTTCAAACATTCTCCTTTTGTGTTCCTCAGAAGAACGAATGTACAAGTCTGAAATGCCAACTCGATGAATACATAATTACAAACAAAACAATAATTTTGGCAGGAGTATTCATTTAATAGGTTGTTTTCTATTATCCACCAAAAACTGCGTATATGAGCTGGAGAGCATGATAGCACTATGCTCAATCCATAACACCTTCATTATTAGAAGCGCTTCTCATCAGATGAGCCATGCATTACACCGTATTCTCAGAAGAATAGTTCGCCCATAGTTGTGTAGCAACTACAAGCACGCAGAAAAAAATAAAAATGATTGATTGGCCCGACTCAGCAGTTCAATTGCTTTTGCAAAGCCTTGTGAAAAACTACAGCCACCCCTGAAATCCACTAATAAACCACATGCCATGGTGTTGAAGGGAGCCCATATGCCAGCACAAAACACAATCTGCCCTGCCTGCGAAGAGGTTGCAGAATGCAAATATGGCTAATTATGCTATATTATGTTGTTCGGTGAAAGATGGTGTGTTGACAATGGCTTTAAAACACATCTTAATGGCACTCAAATTCACAGTTCTCTTCTGTCAGGATTTTGTGGACACCTGCGCTTATTGACAGAATTCCCAAAAGAGCCCTAGCCTTAACACGCATGTCCAATGGGGGTGGGTACAAGCTTAAGGGGTTTTATGAAGAGGCTTGTTTGAGGTGGGGGGCCAGGATCATCATTAATGTGGCCCATGGGCCCCCCTTTTATATAAACAGTAATGTAAATAGCATTGTGGGGCAGCTGTGCTCAGGGTGACAGATTTATTAAGTCATTTTATACATGAGTAATTAGATCTATAAATATGAGAGGAAAATCCTCTCATTAATGTTCAAAAGAGTGAGATTTGGAAGTGGAAAGGCCTTAAAAGAAGAACATTTAAGGCCTGACTACCCACTAACAACAAAGAGATATCCTATGGTTTCAAGCAGAAAGCAAACATTCAGTACTTCAGAATAGTATGCATGAGTTTGTATCTATATCTTACTGATCACAAACTGAATGATAGTATATACACACATGGGGCAGGACATCAGCTCAATTCTACATTAAATACTGCATGTTGCTACAATTTACATTTACTTATTTGGTAGACGCTTTTATAACTTACAGTTCATTCAATGTAATCATTATAGCAGTATGTGGGAATTGAACCAATGACCTTGCTGGCATCATGTTTTGTCAGTTTGAGCTATGAGAACATTGCTTCAAGCTATTAAAGTAGTAAACAGCCCACAGTTAGCATAATGAACAATATAATTTGGCGGAAGAATTGTTTAGTGCAATTATTAATATTAATACATGCAATTATTTATTGTACATATTGCAGTTTGGCATCATTTTATAGAAGCAATAAGCCACTCAAGACCATACTGTGTTCTACCATGGTCGAGGAGGATTTTTGTATTGTTTTTTTTGTTAACAACGCCCTTTAACTGTGGTAAATTGACAATGAGGAGTGAGAGTGTCAAGCTAAAAGCATCACTAAACCGATTCCATAATGAATATCGAATCCAAAGGTCAGCATAACCAATTCCTGTAATGATATTTTCCCTTCCTTATGTGCACATAATGTTTTTTCATGATTATTACTTGGCAGCAGAAGCATCCCATTAGCGATTAGTCGCTATAGTGCATGCTTTCAGTCCGTGATTGAGATTAAAGTTCATTCTCCCTGTGAGAAAGCCGAATCACATTCTCCCAACCTTGTGCTTTCGCTCGCCTCTCTCCCGCTTCCCATTTATATATTTCTTTCGGTGCGCAGGGACATGAGCAGCCTTTAATCAGAGAGACAAAAGCAAATCAATCAGCAGGGGCAGGTTGAATAGAGAGCTTCACGGCGCATTCAAACGAAGCTGGCCGAGTTATAGCGTTTCCCAGTGTTAGCGCCACAGAGCATTGACTACAGAATAAGCACGGGCTAATGAAGGCGGCTCCCATGCAGCACGGCAGAGGGAAGGCGCATCTTGGCCTGCCTCCATTGTCCGTCAGTAATCCAATTCCATCTGCTGC